ATTAAGTTCTTGCTCTCATTTTTTACGCAATATTGTTATAATAAATGAAAATATAGTAATATTAAACAATAATTAAATAAATATAATAGTTACAAAAACTACATATATTTCTATTAGCTGGTCTAATAAACATCTTCTGTTTCGGATTCTTATAAATAAAATTTAATAATTAAAAATTAATAATTAATTAATTAATTAAATAATTTATTAATTAACTACGTTGCGGATCAACAAATTATTAGATAGATTCGGGATAAAACACTTAATCTTGTAGTGCATCCTGATTTGACATCGATATTTTTATGTGTTTTAAGTACCTTAAATACATAAATATAACAACATAATTGATGAATAGTTTTAATACAAATATCATAACATATTATAACATTTTTCTTGTAAATACTAATAATAAATTAACTCTCCGCCAATAATATTGGACTTTAAAGACACAGTCAATTTCTTTTTTGTAAATTTGATTTTTAAAAAATAAATAAAATATGATTTAACTTTCAATTCAATTCAGAAGAATGTAAAAAAAATTGCACTAAAATTTAAAGATCCAAATTGTAGACGAAAAGTTAAAATTTCATATTGCAACAGAAGATTAAATTTTACATATAAGTTTTGTTTTCTTTTACAAGATTTCTTTTCTTCGGTTGTATCAGTTAATTACATACTCTGTGTGTATCAACAGTAACATTAGCAATGTACAGTATTAACAATAAAGCAGAGAGGATGAAAGATGGAAGGAAATAAATACTACGTCGATACGTAAGTAAATAATATTTATTGTTATCGTTATTACTAAGGCACTTGTTATCGATATAAAAATGTATCTCACAAATTATTGCCAATGAGCATATTTAAATACTGACATTAAACAACTAATTGCTTTTCGTGTATAATCTCAGATATTATGGAGGCGAATGCGCAGCCTAAAGCGGGGAGTTTTCGATCTAAAAATCTAATCAACGGATCAACATAAATCACTTGCGTTCTCTCATCTCGAAAACGTCTTGAACATGAAGGCACTTACGTAAATTTCGTATCGCAATGCTCCCCAAAACGTAATCTATACTGAGTTTAGACTAAAAAGCAAGATACAGTATGGTAAATATTAATCGTTAAATTGCAATTAAAATAATACATTAAACGCGCTTGATTTACATAACGTTTCTGGAAGACTGTTGGTCGGATCGATTCTCGTGATATCGGAAAACGCTACTGATTTCGACGGTAACGTTAATCGGAAAGGGACATCGCCGTAAATCATAAAACACGGCGAACTCGAATAAAACAAAACTAAAAAGCGACTGAATAAAATTGCAATTTTTAGATAAGAGAAAGCGAATAAAAAGGAGAAACTCAAAACCGTATAAAACTCAAAACGCGTATTTTTCATCCGGTTTCTAAAAATGGCATTAAAAATGTCTCGAATATAATCAATTGTAAGATGATCGAACTTGTGTACATAAAATAAGAAAGATCACGTTCTTATACCGTGTTCAACGTGCGACGTCCCGTCTTCCAGAGTGTCGGTCCAAAAATACAGTGAATGACACAAATGTCAAATCAATGTTTACACATGATCGTCCTTTCATTACTATCTTAAAAGAAAAATAATCAAGCGGTCAAAAATTCGATAATCGCACGGTCAACCAGTTGAATGAATAAGACATTAACACAGGAACGTGCGAATAACGAAACGCAAATTTCTCCAAGGCTTTTCCCGACTACGGGAAAAGGCAGGAGAACGTTGAGATATTACAAAATATTTAATTTTACATGATATAAGATTGTCGAAGTCCTTAATATACAAAGAGGTAAGAAATTCACATGACTATTTCGATCTCATAACACAAGCGCGTTAATATTCATATTTTATGGATACTTTTCGTGCAACTTTTGCCTCTATTCTATTGTCTATTGTTTATAAATAATAATATTTAATTTGAATATGATATTTATCTTATTATGTATCAATTAAAATGGATATTGTGGCTTATTAAGCAGATGGAAATAGTCGCGTAAATTTCTTTCCAAATATTTTCAGCTGCCACATGTAACTAATTGCATATACGCGTTATCTTCTTTACCGGAATTTTATGATTTCCGGTAATAAATAGGCCGTGAGTTAATCCGCGATAACGAAAAATTCAATGTTAGTGGCCTTTTTTCTTTCGCACTACTTCAGTACCCTTCGCTAAATACCTCGCGAAACTCCTTAAGATAAAAGATAAATCTATAAATACCAGATATTCTTCTCGCTGTGACAATCTCCATATTACATTAATGATAGTATAAAACGTAAGTGAGAAGATTACAATCTAACATTATTTCTCGAAAAATATCAATATTGCAATTTGTAACAAGAGTATAGACTTTACATATAAAAAAAATATATTTTTTTCCTTTTGCGTTTTTCCTCAGCGCGATTTAGAAATACGCTCACTTTTAATAACTACATTTATTGTTTTATATGGACGGTTAATGCAGCAAAAAACGATGAGTAATGATGGTCACATTAATTGATTATAAAGACAAGGCACTCTGCTTTGAAGCATATCGTTCGTAAAAAATTACACTACAAACAGGATTGCAGATATAACATGTTTTCAATACATGTGTATGCGATTTAAAGAACTGATTAAACATTGTACAATTCCGTATGTCATATTCGAAATATTATTAAACGTCTGTATGCAGTATTAAAATATCTTCTATATCTTCGTCCAGTAAACATTACATTTGCACCGCAACTTCAAAGATCTTCAATGATCTTCGAGATAGTATTATGATTTCGTCAGTATTCATAATTTACATCCCAAGATTGCCAGTGTATCTATAATAATCCTGTAAGTATTAGTATCAAAAATTAAAAGCCAATTATAGCAAATAATTGCTATAATTGATATTATTTGTATTAACAACATTTGTAACAATTTCCAATTACATGCACCCAAGATAAAAATAGCACCAAATCCCTCACGCGCGAAAACGTGCAAGCAAATCGACTCGCATTAGCAAATGTTGAAATAACAAAATATTTTCGTATCAGGCACTTTGAAATTTGTTTGAAATGGTTCATAATCCATTCATAGTTTCTTTATATTAACTTTTACAACTAAACTGTTCTACGTGCAAAAACCATAGAAAGATATAATTACAAGCTGGGAGCATAAACATTGTACGATCTCTTGATACCAACATATGCAACAAAAATCATGATCTTACATGATTGTCAAGTTTAACGAATATGAATACGGAATATATCTATATATATATATGTATAAATTTTCGTTGCATATATAAAATATAATATTGTTTAACGAAGAAAGAAATGAAAAAGAAAATAAAGGACTAGATGTGTTGACAATTGCATTTAACGTGCTTGTTAATAAAACAAATTCGCATATAATCCTTCATTTCCTCCTTCTCTCTTTCCTTCTTTCAGACGGCATATAACGAAATATAAACATCCTTCTATTTGGATTTTCATCTTCACAAGAGAAATGCGGTACCATGATATAATAGAAAATTATAGTGAATTCATTTTTTATTTAATCGCGTTTCTATCACATAAAAATATTTTTCCATTTAAAATTTCTTATAACATATGCAGTACTAATTAATAATCTCTCATTTGATATAGGCAAATATTTTCATTAAGCTATCCAACACCTTCCAAAGACAAAGAGAGAGAAAGAGAGCTTACAGAGAAAAAGATGCTTATATATTTATCATAGCATGTTTATAATCGTATGCGCATATAAACATATTTAAATTTGTTTCTTGAATATATTGATGTTTTAAAGCGTCTGAGATAGCTTAATGATAAAATAATTACGTACCGAGCATAAGTTCAATTCCCAATTCTATAATATTATGAGAAATTTGAAATGAAAAAGTATATCCCAACGACATCCTGATTGTCAGGCTGATATTTCATATGTCGTACGACAAGCTTTGTCGGGCGTACTGATGCTAGTGCGCATGCGGTCGTTCGTACGACAATATTTTGTCGTATATGTATAATATATACTTGTCATTAAAATCTGTTGTTTCGACATAAATTGATATTTTAACTTGTTTTGATCGCACTCAGCTCGATATTTCATGTATCGGTTAACAAACTTTTTAAACACGTTGATACCGGAAATTTAACAATCTATTTGTGCATGTAGTATTTTATGTAGATAAGTAACTTTATAATATTAATATCCTATAGAAACGAAAAATAGTATATTTACAGTCTTCAATGTTCATTATTTTTTCATTCATTTTTACCGGCTTGTGAGTGATGGGTTATATTTAAATGTGTCTAGAGCCGATATTCATAGTCGGTTCTTATTTCAAGACTGCCTTAAGTTGTCTTAAGATGCTAAAGCGGCCCTCTGATTAGTTCGTAATGGGCCTTCTACAATAAGTCATTACTTAAGTTTTAAAAGTGTTAAATCATAAGAAATTTACCAATCAAAATCGAATGTGAGAAGAATAATCGACTGTGAGTGGTCAATTTCTTATGACTTATTACTTAAAACTTAGGTAATGGTTTATTGTAGAAGGCCTATAACTCCTCAAAACTGAACTTAAGACGATCTTGAATATAAGAATTGATTACGAATACCGGCCTAGATTATGAACTATTGCAACGACTGTCGAAAAATGTTCGATCTTGCCCAATTTTCTTTTGACAAGAATGCTGGTAAATCTTCGACGGAAGCTCCCCACTTATGTGTCGTCAGTAGCCAATCGGAACGCCCGACAAGCTTGTCGTACGACACATGAAATATCAGCCTTAGCATGGTAATATATTTCCGCAAAAATCCAAATAGAAAGAAATAAATAAAAAAAATAGGTGTTTAGGTTCGAAGTAGACACTTAATCCTATCCTAATCTTAATATAATCTAACCTACAAAATTATAAAGAAATAAAAATTGCATCATTGATTAAAAGTTGAAAACAACGTTGCTCAATGATGCAATTAATTGACCGCAGGTTAATATCTAGATTTGAATAAAGTTTCCACTTCGAGAACCTGAATACCTATCCTTTTAAATAGACCGACATCCGCCGCAGTATCACTTCTAATCCTATAGCCAAGTCAGCACGTTCTCCGGCTTGGTCGTGTTAGGATTTATGAGTGACTGCACGTCGTCCAAAATATCGGTGCTGAACTCCTCGTTCAGCTGAAACAATAACAGTTGTCGATACAAAAGACCGCATTCAAAGGGTTTTAACAACAGGCTTGCAACAATCATCACCATGTAAAAGACCCACCTGCAGCGACGGCAAGAGATCATCTGTCGAATCGATGTTGTCACTTAAGGTTGAGAGATCCGGCGTGTCCATCGGCGCACCTCCGTCTGTAAAAAAATTCATCGAATTCAAAGTATGACTAAACAAAATGTGATATTATGACAAATACGTACTTATGTATTTATGGCTTCGGTATAATCGTTTCGTAAGATCATTCAACGCACAGTGCCTTTCTGCAATCGGAACAATCGCGCAAAACAATTATTCATAAATCGAAAATTGACTTAATGGCACAGCAAAGCAAGCGAATAAACATTTCTTTTTAGCCTAGAGTCTTATAAGCGTGATGGTGGCGATGGATTTTGAAGATGTTGCGTAAAAATTGCCTTATATTCCGAAAAAAAATCGAGAATTTCGAACGGGCTGCTCTTACCGCTCGTGCCATCCATGTTTTCGTCTATGTTGAGGAAGTCATCGGAAGCCTGAGGCATTGAATATGCAGTACCGAGTCCCAAGCCGCTGTCGGCGCTCTCCTGGCGTGCATGCTGCTCGTTAATGCCTGACAAAAACGGATCCATGACGGCGTCTGTGGTGCTCTGTCGCAGCATCATCTCTTGTTGCTGCAACGAAAAAGATGCGTAAATATCGAAAATGGTTATTACAGATGTCACGCGATCAAGTCTCCGGATTAAAGGACGACTCACAATGCCAACCTGGCGCATAATTTCCTGTTGTCGCTGCTTCAAACGTTCACGTTCCAGCTGCAACGATTGGAGGCGAATCTTCTGCTTCTGACAGGCTTGCAAATTCTGGTTGTTTTGGATGCCGGTGGGTTGTTGAAGTTGCCAGTTTTGTGGCAGCATCGCGCCGGACGCCGGAGTTCTTTGGAGATGCGATGCTGAAGGAACGATATCTTATACGAATATACGATAAGAAATGAGGATTAGTTAACGATCAAAAAATATCGATAAAAGTAAATCACATTGTCAGGAAAGATTCCTCACCAAGTGATATAAATCTTGCAACCTATGTTAATTTTCGTCAAACTTCAATCATATCCAGAGCTACCACATTTCCGATTTCTCAGAAATTCTGAAGTTTTACACGTTCAGAATTTAATTAATTACATTCACAAATTCGAATTAAATTATTAAAATAAATTAGAGATGAAATAATTCCAGAAGATGCCCAAGAACTTGAGAAATGCGAAGTGACAGAAAAATTTGAACTAATCTGGTTCGATGATTAAATAGTGAGCATCAAGAGTTTCTTAAATTAATGTTTATCATAAATTCGAGGTAGGATCTCCTTTTTAGTCCATGCATTACTTACAATTAGTATGTAGAATTTGGGAGAAGTAAGAATTCAATTCAACTTACGGATTCGCGGATCGAACCAGGAAGTGGTGCGAGTCTGATGATTGATGAAATAGATCTCGCCCTCGGCTGTACGCGCCTGTTCCCATCCATCGGGCAATGGACCGAGCGCATTGGATTTGCTGCTCTCGACTGCCGCGGCTACTGCGGCTACGCTTGCGGCTGCGGCCGTTTTCCGCGGATCTTCCCATGTCGTGGTGCGTGTCAGGTGACTATGAAAAGAAATAGATGTTAGCGGGATATAATGCGTAAAAGGACAGTGTCTGAAACTTTAAAGGAGATTTATAAAGTCCAAGATTCTCGATTCTTCAGATCGATTCTTGTAGAGAATGGAGAGCAATAGAGATCTACACGGGACTTTAAGATTTCAAGCATTTTTTTTTTCAAATTCAATTGTAATCACTATAACGCAGTTTACTTAATTCTTTCAATACATTTCGTCAATTGGGCAACGCGAGTAAACAATAATTGAATAAATAAATGTTTGAGACTTAACAAATATAAATACCTATTCATTTTTGAAAGACTAGCTTAATAAGTTATCTGTACAAACATTGAATCAAACAAGATGTTAGATTAGATTAAGCTTTGTCATCCGAAACAACTGAATATATTGAATATATGCATATCTCATTGATGTATAATTTATGATAACAGTCTCCTGCTGTGGAAAAAAAGTGTCATGTAGGATACATATAATTTATCCGAAAAGTTCAACATTTTTCTTATATAAATTTTTTTCTATTATAAACCTAACGATATAGAACTAACACAAGGCAAAACAATTGCGGTCTAGGTGAAAATATATTTATTCAGCAAATTGTGCCTCCATTAGGATGTGATTATGCGAAATTTGATTTTCATTCGATGTCGCATCGAACACTTTAATGCTTGCTCAAGCCGCTCGATCCGCGGAAACTGAATACGCGGCGCGGCGCGTACAGTTATCCACATATAGTAGGCGCGTGCTAAAAATACTCCCATTCAGAAGACCGAAGCGAAGCGACGAAGCGACGTGGGTTAGAGCGCGTAGGTTTTAACGCCCGAAATAAAGCCGATCTCTTAATCTTATACCGATCTTTTGTTATAGAGAATAATATTCTGGATAATATTCTCGCTGTTATACACGCTCTGGGTTAATTGAAAGTAAGGAGATTAAAACTTTTACATGTTGACTACATTTGCGAATACTGGACAACAAATGATGTCATCCGCGATTTAAAAAGATAATTTTTTATTTGTATATATATAAAGTTTATTGCGGAAATAAAATATGTATATTAGAAATAAATATTATATTCTTTTATTAAAAGTTGATTGTTATTGCAAAATAAAGCAGTTTATCATCTAATATAATAATCATTGATGCAATACATATCTCGCGTATCTTTAAATCAATAGATACTTTATAGCGGTCTCAATTTGAGCAACTGAATGACTTACATATAGCTTCCAGATTATTATTTGATAACTTATCATTCGAGTCCTAATCAAATAAGTCTTTATATTGTTATATGTATATTTCTCATTTCATTATTTTATGTCGTATTTATCGTTCAACATCGTTCAAATAGAATAGATAGTGTTTTTATTCCATTGAATAAATTTGAGATTAAGCAAACGTGAATGAGATACATATATAACTTATAGACAGTACAATACTTTTCGTCGCCACGACGTCGGATTTGCCGTGCCGTAGTTCGGCTTCGGACAACGGCAAAGGAACGGGAGGAAGTCTGTTTTGCACAGCACGCGCGTGTGACGTCATTGCGCGATTATATTTCTGCACCTACACGTCGGGCCACAGACGTACCTGGCGTGACGCGTACCTGCCTTGCAACGGGCACCCGTTTGTAAACACGCCGACCAGACGCGCTCGTTCAGGTCGATTTATTAATCAGATCGAAGCTATTTGGACGGTACAGTTTATAATTAGCATTACTTTTAGGATAAACAAGACCGAAGTTGGAGTAATGAGATTTTTAAGTAAAAATTTACTCCAACGCGAAATGTGGCGGCTCTCTTATAGTTCGAAGCATTTTCCATTCATAGTCCATTTTTACCCTGAACTTTTTAAATAAAAATATATTTCATTTCATGGAAGAAATGCATTTCTTTCCTCCCCTCCTTCTTCCCGTGCTTCAATATAGAACATAATGTTCTATTGATAGTATATCGAATTTGGCATCAGTCCGCGATTACGTGCACTCGCGCGTTTTACATTACTCTGGAGAATTAGAAACATAGGTCTGTTTTTTGCTTGCATTTTTGCACTTAGCATCTTCGTTCTCTCTCTTTTCAACGCCTGAATACACATGTATACTTATCCCGTTTTAAGTGCAAACATTTTTGGGAATTTCACGCAACGCGAACAATTCTCATTTATAGCGAATAATAACGAGACACCCTGTATAACGGCGCAATTGCGCTTCGCACCCTAATCGTGCGCTCTATGAGCGTGGTTCTCTATCGCTTTCCGCCGCTCTCGCTTGGCCGCTGTCCAATAAGAGAGAAGCGAAATTGCGCCGCGCCGCCCCTCCGCGGCTGTTACGGGCCGCGAGGAGCGCTGTGGAGGGGATGAGAGCGCCTGCAGGGGTAGGGAGGGACCGAGAGAGCTGAGAGAGCGCTAGCGCGTTGGAGAACTACAAGAGGGTCTCGTGTGTGTGTGTGTGTGTGTGTGTGTACGCGCGCGCGCACGGCATACGGACTCTACGCGGTGTATTTTTACTCCGGACATCACGGCGCCGGACAACTCGTAAATAGACACTCTCGTATCGACGCTCACCGCTGCTCTCTGCTCTCCTTCGCCCTGCGACTCCTTGCACCCTGCCGTTTTCCCATTCTTCTCGCCCTTTATACTGCTAAGATCACTTATGGCTCTCACCCTTTTTACCCTCTCACGTCGCGTTCAAATCGGTCCGAAGATCTGGGTTCTAACACGATACGATTTGCGTGAACGAATCGCTTGACGAAATCGCAGGTACCCGATCATTTGGGACGTTCTTCCTATTTAACGGAGAATCCCAGGTGCATCTGTTTAAATCCCCGTACACGTCGTAAAATTCATAAATTCATAAATTCCCGCACAAAGGGTCTCAAGTGTCAACGATCTCATAATGCACAAGCCTATAGAAAGCTTGTTCCGGAAAATTTAAGTTACTAAAATAGAGCTAAATTTCGTCATTGCCAATTATTTTTAGAAACATTTTAGAAAATGAATAGTCAATTAAACATTGTTCCCGGACAAATTTTAATCGCAGTGTCGAATGTTTTGCATTTAGATTTTCGTTTGCGCAACGCTAAAAGGAAACGAGTTAAATATAAGTACAAGCGGATTACGCGCGGATAGGAAACTATATGGTTGGAGGTGAAGATGTTTCATGAAAACAAGATTACTTATATCAAAATGCGAATTACATTGACACTAATTAGTTTCGGACAATTTAATCTCCAAACAATAGATTAATTGAATTAATTAATTTAATTAATTAATTTTGAAAAGCACATAAGATAAGTCTTGCAAGATACGTTGAAATATCATTTTAATTTCAACATGTCCAATTTGTATGCATTTGTGTGAAACTGTCCGCACATTTAAAGAATTTAATTTAGCTCCTCTCTTTAAATAAACAATTACTGTAAAAATATCACGTGAAATTAAAATAAATTCCGAAAATTTGGAAATAAAACAATTCCTTGAGAGAAATCTTCTTTTACATAAAAAAAATATTCAATCTGATATTTAAAATTCCAAGCTAATTTTTAGAAAAAAATTGATGAGAAATTTTTACAAATAAAATATTATAATTATATGGAAGAGGCGTGGACATACCGTAATATACAAATCAATGAGATTCATTTCACAGGATACCAAGATTAGGATTAACGGAACAACATACGCGATGCGATTAAGATGTCACATGCGATATTTATGGTGCTACTGAAAAGCACTAGCGGTACGTAAAATTTAGCGATAAAAGCATCTCGACGCCATCCGGATTCACACTCCGGATAACTATTTCCCGTTTCACTACACGCAAAATCGCTGGTGTCGCGGCTTTATATTCGCGAAAATGAGTAACGCGTGTTGGAACTTAACGCTTTTAGTTAATGGGATCCTTATGGGAGAATGATAATAAACGATCTGCATGTGGAGATCCTCGAGCTAAGCGCTTGCTTGATTATAGTGTTACAATACAAGCGTTTCTTACAGTCTCAATATAATTACGACACGCATTACATACCATAGATTTTAAAAAACAATATATTTTTTATCAAAACACATTTATTACATATTAAATTTTATCAAAATGTATAAATTAAAATTTTACGTTCATTAAAAGTGTCAATATTTCTTTATTACAAATTACTATATTAAAATAAATAAATTTATTTTAAATATTTTATATTATATAGTTTATCTCTTTATTTAAAAAAATATATATAAATATATCGAGATATATTACACGTTTTTCCTGTTTCAAATTTGAGTTTGTGAATGTTGCAAATTTATTTGTAAAAATGTAAAAAGCCTTTAGCAGCCAGAGAACAGAATGCTTTCAACCATTCCTCTATATACGTCGAGCAAATTTCACGCAACGCGCGTTGCTCACGTCGCCTTGAACTTTCGATACGTTCGCCCTGTACTCTCGACGATCTGTCCTCGTATCTGGCATTCGCATTTGTCGTCTAAGCTCTCTCGCGTACAGGTGTGTCGGGGTCTTTAGCCTCGGTGCAGCGCAGCGCGGCACGTTGCGAGGAGGTCGTCTCTACCAACGATGGCGCATCACGATGCCATCAACGGTAGATTTCGCTCGAAAACTCTATTGTCATTCAAATATTTTACTGTCGAGAGAAAATATGACTCTTCGAACTGATCAAAAAGTTCATAGAATTCATACTCGATAATATAATTTGTATCCTGCATACCTATTTTTTTCTTCCTTATTCCAACATTCTGTTGTGTCTTGGTATCACATGAGTGATCTTAATGTGTATCATTTATCTTTTTTTCAACACTTTTTCGCCGATTTTAACGAAATATATATGTCCAGGTTCGACCTTGCAGCAACAGTTCTGATGTCACATACAACTTTCACTTGTGAATGATCAGAAATATCCGGGTGCAACGAAATGCTCCCCTGACATTTATGACAATAGTTTTCAACTAACCTTAATGAATTTTCTATTTTCGTAAAGGTCGAAAATAACC